AAACGTCTGGGAATGTACCACGTCCACGGTCCGACTTTAGAAATAATTATGCATACAATGGACTCAGGACCAGGTGTGTTTCCATAAGTCTTCCTACCATTGTGACCAAGTTGCAAAAACAAGGTCAAACAACTTCTATATAATATAATGTTGGTTAGAATCACCCAATATTGGCAGATATCCTTTTATTTGTTTATAAACATATTTTAGAGACTACCAGTAGATCATATATATAAGATATGTATGAGACTAAATGTAATACATAGAGGGTGGAGATGAGTAATGCATCGCGAAAATTCCACCATCAGTCACGATATTACCTGAAGCAAACCAGACTGATTCGAGTTTTATTAAACGTCTACTGATAGTTTTAAAGTATGCTCATTTACTATAATGTTAATTATTCCTACTCGTCTTTTTTGTTTTTTTTCTTTTGCGTTGCGCTTTCATCTTCATTTTTCGCCTAATTCCCTGAAAAAATCTTTATTTCCAGATTTGTTGGTGTACACTCGTCGATTGCATCTTATGCATCGTGTAGAATGTCTAATCAATGGTCTTCTGACAATTGAGAATCTTGATTCACCTGCAAAAGCGATTTTTCGTCAGTACTGTCTTTCAGACATTGTTAAATCTGTCTTCACGGAGAATCAGGTATTTCTTAATTTATTGTTTATCTGAAATTCTTAATTAATTCGGTTTTAACCTAGTCGCTAGTCTTAGGATGCTTAAAGCTATCTTTACCTCTTCATACATTAATTTTTCGCATTGGACTTGAGCCCTTTCTCACTTCATTTTAATCTCGCTTCTAGTTATGGCTTTTTTAGTTATTTGTATAGGATTAAAAACCTTTGCCTCTATACCCCGGATTGGAATAGGCTTCCTATCCTTACTATGGCCTACAACTTTTAACTCATAGGCAACCATTCATTTAACCTTCTACTTCGGCTTTTCTTTTCTCTTTTAAATATTATTTTTTCTCGATACCTTATATCTAGATATTTTGAACAAAACTGATTGGCATCAACGCTTCTGAGCTTAATCTCAATTTTTATTCAGTGTAGTTTTGGTCTTAGCTCATTTAATACAGGGGTCTCAGATTGCAAGCATTTTATTTATAAAATTGTTCTTAATGACAACGTCCTATTGTATAGTTGAGCCCATGAGTTTGTACTTGCCTTGCATTATGGGGAATATAATGTAAAACTGATTTTCGTTAACGCAATTAGCACTGCATATAGCCAAAATAGACTTGAGATAAATAATCCATGGATTATTAAAGTCTAGTCATATTATCCAATATAGTCCAAATTACAATATCGCTTGTCAGTCTATATGATAAAATTAGACTGGTCTTGAATGATGTAATGAAAATTCGTTGCTTCTTTATTCATGACAATTTCGACGTCCCTATACTAGTAGATTTACAATCTCATCTTGCATCCTCATATAATATATTATTATTAATCTTGCCTGTCATCCAACCATTCAGCGCATAGACCCCTCCTTGTTCCCCTGCTTTACTCATCGTGCCCGTCTGTCATTTAATTCAATGGATCTTCTCTTTGACAATACTGCTAACCGACTCGCTGAGCCTATACTTTCTTGCCAGAATGAGCCTTCTTCCCAGTGTCCTGGACCTAAATTTGAACCTCGACTTCTAGTTTCCACCCCTCATTTCAAAGCATCATCCGGAAAATTCACTCAGCCTTCGCAAAGACCTGTCCAATATCAATTGCCTTCGACTCTCGAGACCTTTCACAAAGGATGCCTTATGCCAAGGCCAGCCCATTCTTCTTTTGCTGATGAGACAAAGGAAGAAAAAAGTGAGACAAGCTAAACACTCTCATTTAAGCTTATATAATGTGATAAAACTTTTGGCATCCAAGAATTATGCATTTATTATGTATTGATGTCTCATCATGAAAAATATGTGCATTTATCCTCGTGTGCTTTATTTTTGTCGTTCAATTTCAACATACGTAAATATTGCGAATGAAAAAAAGTAATTTTATGCTTTAACCATACATTTTTTACCCAAAGCTATTCTGGAATACTCAGCATTAAGCGTTGCTCAACTTCCATCACTTTATAGCTGATCCCGAATAGATGCTAGTTTTTTATCCATGGTCCGAACATGATTCGAGCTTATGTAGAAAAACTGGGTTTCGAAAAACCCCTATATAAATTCATATTGGAGTACCTTTCATTTCGTTTAAGGAGGCGAGTGGAAGGAACTCGTAAGTTGGTTCCACCGGAGACAGCAGGAGGGTTGCCTTGGAGCTGTAGTTGTATATTTGTGCGCACTGCCCTGCGACCCAGATGAATCCTTGCTGAGCTTTCGTCCGTCATGTTACGGACATCGTCAGAGCAGTACACCATGATTAACGATAATTCACCGAAAACACAAAGGCAAAAAATGTGGCCGGCTTCAAACCTACTTCCTTCTTATAGTCCAAACTGGGCTACTTAGGTATCTCATGTTTTGGTCGGATGTCCTCTGATTTGCCTATATACCTGGCGAGTTAACCATATTCGTTTTTTAATTGTTTTTCACAGGGTTGTTCCTCGATTTTGTATTATTGATAGACCAAATTTGCCAATGTCAGACTATCAGTAAGCGAAAGCCTAGGAAGTGGATCGAAATCAAAAAATAGCCAACATCCTGAATAGAAGGAATGAGTGTATGAAGTTAAGCGGAAACTATTTGTGGCTGTTGGATAGGTTTAGATATGCGGGGAGAACGAGAAGTACCACTGAGCAAGAGGAGGCTTGATTAGGCTGGAATTTGGTTTTGACTCTTCCATCACACTCATTTCAAGAGCAATGAAATCACACAACGTATGTGCAATGGGACGCAATCACATGCGGTAACATTGCAGGATCAAAGGCGTAAATGTTTTAGGGGAGGATGCAGCTGTTCGGTTTCAATTGCATCCGTTTCACACTTCATCTGCAGCCACTTGACTTAACTTATGAGGAAACATGGAGATAAAGCATAGTACATCTAACCAAAACGTGATATGTATAAGTGGACCAAATTGGACTATAAGGAGGAAGTAGGTTTGAAGCCGACCACCTTTTTTGATCTCGTGTTTTTGGTCAATTATCGTTAATCATAGTGTCCTGCTTTGAAGATATCCGTCACATGACGGATGAAAGCTCAGCAAGGATTCATCGGGGTCACAGGGTGTTTAACCGAAGACATATTAGCACAAATCTATAACCACAGCTCCAAGGCAAACCTCCCACAGCCTCTGGTGGAACTAACTTACGAATTCCTTCCACTAGCCTCTTGAAACGGCTCAGAATCAGTGAGTCGTAAGCTTCTTATGATCATATTCTGGAGTATTATAATCTTCGTCCCATAAGTATGGTTCGACTGGAAGTTACGAGTTATTCCAGCATGCGATTTTTTTCGGAAAAGTTTTTTCTTGAGAGTTTCCTCGGAGCGAATTACCTTCACATCCAAGAACTGTAAGTGTCCGTTCTATTCCACATCCATAGAAATTTGACTTTCCTCTATTTATTAATGAAGATCAGTAAATTGTCTAATTTCTCTTTTCCGTACAACCAAATTGCGAAGTAGTCATCCAAATATTGCATAATTACTGTTGGCTGATGGGATGCCTTTTGAAATTTTCCTCCATTTTGTCAATGAATATATTAGCCAACAGAGGTGAGAGTTATGAGCCCATAGGCAAACCAAATATTTACTCATAAATGTGGTCGTTGAACGTGGAATAGGTTGTCTCTGAGGAAACTCTCAAAAAAAAACTTTTCCGAATGAATTAGCATGCTGGAACAACTTGTAACTTCCAATCTAACCATGCTTATGGGATGAAGATTGGACTACTCCGGAGTATGATCATCAGAAGCTTACGACACACTGATTCCGAGTTATGCGAACAGGACCTGGGAAAACTAACTCAGATGCTTCTTAGAAATAGATATCCAGAAAAAATAATACAACATACGAATGGTGATGAACAGATGGAAGGACGGAGACTATGAAAGGTGAGCAAGAGGAGCAGAAGAAAAATTATGAATATGTCTATCCTCCTGCGAATTGACTCGGAAGCTACGGTCAATACTTGGGAAATTGAACATTCGTACAATCCTGAAGGAAAGGATAACACTCTTCATCAGCTTGCCCACACAACATGAAGAAGTCAACAAATGGAGTGCTCCGGAGTTTACAGCATAAATTGCAGGGACTGTGAAAAAAATACATCTGAGAGACGGGAAGAATACTCAGCACAATGATCAAAAAGCATCAGCGACTATGCAAAAAAATGAATAAGGAGGGATTGGAGATAGCTGAACACAACGCCCTTACTAGCCACACCATTGACTGGAATGCAACAGAAAGACTTTCGTCATATCGGGAAAACACCAGGAAACGGAAGATCAGGGAGACTGTGGACATCCTCCTTAAAAAATCTGATGAACAGGAGATTGGAAGAGGGACGTGTCAGCTGTAATTTCGCATACTGCCTGAGCAAAATTCGAGATTCAACGAATACATCAAAAAGAAGATCTTCGGATCCATAACAACTGTTTAACAACAGGAAGAGACATCACCAAGGAGCGGCTCATGACAAACAAAGGGAAGTCAAGAAAAGGCGACTACAGTGAGAAAAGTCAGACATGAAATTGCCAAAAAATTTACCCGGGGGTTCACTTGTGAGATGTAAGAAGTGAAATTAAAGGCTAAAGATATAGGTGGGCTAGTAAGAGGTCACCAGTGTGTATGTGTAAGTATCGTGTGTAATTTTAATATCGGCGTCGGAGGAGGAAGAGGCTTGAGCACGGGGGATACCAACCAACACACACACACAGCGACATCATCCCAGTACCCCAGGATTAGATAGGAATGTCAACTTGAGGGACGAGAGTGTGTTTTTCGCGATTCAAATGGAAAAAAGAGAAACGATGTATTATCACACTAGCGATTATAAATTAAGCCGGACACATGACCCCAAAGAATGACAAAATGTGGGTGGAGATGGGTGAGAGGATAAATAAATCACGAGTTTAAAGCCTAGGGAGAGGGAGAGTCCCAGGCACAGATGTGTGCATGGGCATGGGCATGTACATGTACATCATCTACTAGAGCAGATGATATGGCGTAGTCAAGGACGGGAATGGAAGGTTCTTAAGCAACCATATTTTAGAAAACCGAAAAATTATTTTGATGTGCAGCAGAAGCCAATTGACAAACGGGTAGAATGTACCCCAGGAGCCCTGCAAGCGGCATCTTGTACCGATGGTAGAGATGATTACGTTTCACTAAACCCACTTGTAGCGACACACTCTTATGCGAGATTTAGGCACAGAATTGTGCGAATAAGTGAATGTGCCATATGAAGTGGGGTTGAGAGGAAGTAATGCGGCACTATAGGGTAGAACAAACAAATAGGGATAAGGAGTGATGCCACAACGGTTGAAGAGAAAATGGTTCAGGGGGATTGCCTTGTCGTTTTGAGAAGTTGTAACTCTGTGCTTACGATGGCGCCTCTCACTGACGATGCCGGCGAAACGTTTGTGAATCTATC